ACACCCACCACCCAACCATGAGCCCCAACCACCCCAACAGTGACACCCACCTCCCAACCATGAGACCCAACCACCCCAACAGCAACACCAATCACCCAACCATGAGACCCAACCGCCCCAACAGTGACACCCACCACCCAACTATGGGATCCACCACCCAGTGCTCCCAGTCTCCCAGTGACCCCTCCCACTGCTCCCAGTAACCCCCCTTACCGTACTCCTTGACTTCAAACTGGGCGCTGAAGACCTGTTCTGGTGAGTCTTCGAATTTGGCCTGGATGGTCCACGTCCCCATACTGGGAAAGGCGGGGAGAGGTGATGGGACCAGTCTGGGGACAGGGATGTCCCCACCCCAAGGTGTCACCAACACCTCAAGATGCCACCAAGACCCCAAGGTGTTATGGAGGGGACCCAAGGTGCCACCAAGACCCCAAGGTGTCACCAACACCTCAAGGTGCCACCTGGACCCAAGAGGGGACCCAAGACCCCAGGAGGCCACCAAGATCCCAAGAGGGGACCCAAGCCCCCAAGGTGCCACCAAGACCCCAAGGTGCCATGGAGGGAACCCAAGGTGCCACCAAGACCCCAAGAGGGGACTCAACCCCCAAAGGTGTCACCAAGACCCCAAGGTGCCACCAAGACCCCAAGGTGCTACAGAGGGAACCCAACACCCAAGGTGCCACCAAGACCCCAAGGTGCTACAGAGGGAACCCAACACCCAAGGTGCCACCAAGACCCCAAGGTGCCACAGAGGGAACCCAACACCCCAAGGTGCCACCAAGACCCCAAGGTGCCATGGAGGGAACCCAAGGTGCCACCAAGACCCCAAGAGGGGACCCAAGACCCCAGGAGGCCACCAAGACCCCAAGAGGGAACCCAACACCCAAAGGTGCCTCCAAGACGCCAAGAGGCCACCAAGACCCCAAGGGTCCACAGCGGGGACCCAACACCCAAGGGTGCCAACAAGACCCCAAGGTGCCACCAAGACCCCAAGAGGGAACCCAACACCCAAAGGTGCCTCCAAGACGCCAAGAGGCCACCAAGACCCCAAGGGTCCACAGCGGGGACCCAACACCCAAGGGTGCCAACAAGACCCCAAGGTGCCACCAAGACCCCAAGGTGCCATGGAGGAGATCCAAGAGGCCACCAAGACCCCAGGGTGCCACCAAGACCCCAAGAGGGGACCCAGCACTCCAGGAGGCCACCAAGACCCCAAAGTGCCACAGAGGGGACCCAACACCCCAAGGTGCCACCAAGACCCCAAGAGGGGACCCAAGACCCCAAGGTGCCACGGAGGGGACTCAACACCCCAAGAGGCCATGAAGACCCAAGAGGGCACCCAAGACCCCAAAGTGCCACCAAGACCCAAGGTGCCACCAAGACCCCAAGAGGGGACCCAGCACTCCAGGAGGCCACCAAGACCCCAAAGTGCCACAGAGGGGACCCAACACCCCAAGGTGCCACCAAGACCCCAAGAGGGGACCCAAGACCCCAAGGTGCCACGGAGGGGACTCAACACCCCAAGAGGCCATGAAGACCCAAGAGGGCACCCAAGACCCCAAAGTGCCACCAAGACCCAAGGTGCCACCAAGACCCCAAGAGGGAACCCAACACCCCAGGAGGCCACCAAGACCCCAAGGTGCCACGGAGGGAACCCAACACCCAAGGTGCCACCAAGACCCAAGAGGGGACCCAAGACCCCAAGGTGCCACAGAGGGGACCAAACGCCCCAAGAGGCCACCAAGACCCCAAGAGAGGACCCAACCCCCAAAAGGTGCCACCAAGCCCCCAAGGTGCCACCAGCCCAAGGACACACCGGTGGAGCCAGGGGTGTAGATGGGCTTGTCCGTCTGGACAAAGATGTGGCCACTCTGGAGTGACACCAGCAGCACCTTCTCCAGGGTCACCTGGCCCACCCGCGCCGTCACCGTCACAAACTGCTTCTTCTCTGTGGCCTGCTGCATGAACTTGGCCGACACCTGCGGTGACAGGGGACACCGGGTGGCACCCGTGACCAAGGATCCTGGGTGATTGTCCCCAAAGATCCAGAGGTGGCCACCTCCGTGCTCCCAGAGGTGACCATCTCCAAGGACCCCATGGTGACTGTCCCCAAAGACACACAGGTGGCCACCTCCATGGACTCAGAGGTGACCATCGTAGGGTGGCCACCTCCAAGGACCTCAGAAGTCAGTGTCCCCGAGTACCTGGGGTGACCGTCCCCCAAGATCCAGAGGTGGCCACCTCCAGGGACCCATGGTGACTGTCCCCAAAAATCCAGAGGTGGCCACCTCCAGGGACCTAGTGGTGGCCACCTCCAAGGACCTCATGGTGGTTGTCCCCAAAGGTCCAGAGGTGGCCACCTCCAAGGCCCCAGAGGTGACCATCTCAGGGACCCAGAGGTGGCCACCTCCAAGGACCTCATACTGGCTGTCCCCAAAGATCCAGAGGTGGCCACCTCAGGGGACCTAGTGGTGGCCACCTCCAAGGACCTTGTGGTGGTTGTCCCCAAAGATCCAGAGGTGGCCCCCTCCAAGGACCCAGAGGTGGTTGTCCCCAAAGGTCCAGGGGTGGCCACCTCAGGGGACCTAGTGGTGGCCACCTCCAAGGACCTCATGGTGGTTGTCCCCAAAGATCCAGAGGTGGTCCCCTCAGGGGACCTAGTGGTGGCCACCTCCAAGGACCTCATGGTGGTTGTCCCCAAAGATCCAGAGGTGGCCACCTCCGGGGACCCAGAGGTGGCCACCTTCAAGGACCTCATGGTGGTTGTCCCCAAAGGTCCAGAGGTGGCCACCTCCAAGGCCCCAGAGGTGGCCACCTCCAAGGACCTCATGGTGGTTGTCCCCAAAGGTCCAGGGGTGGCCACTCAGGGGACCTAGTGGTGGCCACCTCCAAGGACCTCATGGTGACTGTCCCCAAAGATCCAGAGGTGGCCCCCTCCAAGGACCCAGAGGTGGCCACCTCCAAGGACTTCATACTGGCTGTCCCCAAAGGTCCAGGGGTGGCCACCTCCAAGGCCCCAGAGGTGGCCATCTCAGGGGACCCAGAGGTGGCCACCTCCAAGGACCTCGTACTGGTTGTCCCCAGAGATCCAGAGGTGGCCACCTCCAAGGACCTCATGGCGACTGTCCCCAAAGATCCAGAGGTGGCCCCCTCCAAGGACCCAGAGATGGCCACCTTCAAGGACCCCATGGTGGTTGTCCCCAGAGATCCAGAGGTGGCCACCTCAGGAGACCTAGTGGTGGCCACCTCCAAGGACCTCGTGGTGGTTGTCCCCAGAGGTCCAGGGGTGGCCACCTCCAGGGACCTAGTGGTGGCCACCTCCAAGGACCTCATGGTGGTTGTCCCCAAAGATCCAGAGGTGGCCACCAAGGACCTCATGGTGGCTGTCCCCAAAAATCCAGAGGTGGCCACCTCAGGGGACCCAGAGATGGCCACCTCCAAGGACCTCATGGTGGTTGTCCCCAAAGGTCCAGAGGTGGCCCCCTCCAAGGACCCCATGGTGGCTGTCCCCAAAAATCCAGAGGTGGCCACCTCCGGGGACCTAGTGGTGGCCACCTCCAAGGACCTCATGGTGGTTGTCCCCAAAGGTCCAGAGGTGGCCACCTCCAAGGCCCCAGAGGTGGCCACCTCCAAGGACCTCGTGGTGGTTGTCCCCAAAGATCCAGAGGTGGCCACCTCCAAGGCCCCAGAGGTGGCCATCTCAGGGGACCCAGAGGTGGCCACCTCCGGGGACCTAGTGGTAGCCACCTCCGGGGACCTCATGGTGGTTGTCCCCAAAAGTCCAGGGGTGGCCACCTCCAAGGACCTCATACTGGCTGTCCCCAAAGGTCCAGGGGTGGCCACCTCAGGAGATCTAGTGGTGGCCACCTCCAAGGATGTGCCTCCAAGGACCTCAGAGGTGAATGTCTCCAAGGCCCCAGGGGTGACGGTCCCCAAGAAACCCCCCCCAGCCCATGGTGACCATCCTCCCCCAGGTCCCACCGGCCCCATGGAGCTTCTCCCCCCTCTTGTAGAAGGTTGAGCTCCGTTGGGTCATCGTCCCTTGAGCGGGAAGGGACAATGACCGGCCGGGAGGTGACACCAGGGGGGGGTGGTGGTGGTGGTGGGGGTGGTGGTGGTGGTGACATACCTTGATGGTGCCGGTGGCCAACATGCCCCTGGCGGGGGTGAGGGGGAGGCGGGTCTGGTGGATGATTTGACGCTTGAGGGGAAAGTCCTGGACGAAGATGTTGACCTCGGTGGGGGACGTCAACCCCGGGGCCTCCACCACCACCCGCTCCTCCGTCTCCAGCCGCAGCACGGCC